AAGACTAAGCTCCTGGTTATCGGAGTTCAGCAGACTACGAGAAGCCTACCATCTTTTCCTCCGGTTAAATTACTGGGTAAAGAAATTAAACCTGCCATTTTAGCGGTTAGATGTCCCAGAATTAAACAGGGTAGTTTGTGAGCATTTCGAAGTTGGTGTGCCAGTTGTCGTAGGAAATGAGAAAAACTGTACTAATTTGTTCAATAGCACTGAAATCAGCGATACACAGTAGCTAGTTCATTGAAATTTATCTCTGATCAGTAAAGGACGGACTAAAAGACTCTCCTATGTCTGCCGTAGTAACGCATATCTATGCATAGTTTTAAAAGTATTACTCTCTTTGAACATTACCTACTCGTAGTCAAGTTCATCAAAATTTGGCGCAGATCTTGAGTTGAGCTCTTTTTCTAGGCTTAAAAAGTAGCTGACATTTCACGACGCCACCACTGATTTTCCAGCGAAATAACGCCTGAGGAACCAGCGCAGAAATTCCATATTGATTGCGCGTCACTTCCCAGATCTGGGCGGTGATTCTGATTGGATGAACCATATTTTCAGCCAATCAGAAGCGTCATCACTATGGAATTTTTGTGCTCGTTCCTCAGACGAGACGTCGTGGTCAAACCAGTGGTGGCGTCTAGAAATGTCGGTTGTTTTCTCAGGCAAGAATTCTACCTGCTCTCACTACATGCAAATCCACTTCTGTCGGACAAGCGGCTTGATTTAATGGACCCTTGTTGAGGTCAACTGCAACAAAAAGGACGTCATTATTTTCCCTTTTTCAACCATCCTTGTGAATCGTACCGTAAAATTTCGACATGGAATGAAGCCCCTCCGGATTTAAGTCCCTCCAAAAATAAACCTCGGGAGGTTGCATTTGGAGGGATTTCATGGTCACGAAATTCTAGTTAAGGCTTTTTCTGCCTTCTTACATGATCGGCAACAAAAATTTCCCTTGTCCATGAGAAAGGTGGGTATTCCTCTGAATGTAACTGGGCTTCCTAAAATGACTAGTCAAAACCTCGAGAATAGGGGCCAAGGCAGCATGTTTATACAGACATTGTGATGAGTGGCACGTCTCCTTTATAAGTACATTTTCCTGCGGTGCATATCCTTTCGCCTCATACCCACCTTGTCCACCAACAATCGCACTTCCTGCTCTCCTCACTTTTCCTCTGCTTTCAAAATCAAAGATGGCGACCACACGCAGAAAAAAGTCAAAGGAAACACTGAGACCCCGTTAGATGGAGAAAAAGAGTTTTCCCTGGTAGAAGGGTCATCCGCCGACTCTAGCTTCCTTGGGCGAGCTTATGATAGAGGATGATACATTTCCTTAGAAAAAGAGAAAAAAAAAGTGGCGAACCTTTTACATGAGAAACAAAAAGTTGGCTTGTCTAGAAGGGTGATCCGACTAGCCTGCTTACCCTTTTGTGATGGTAGAGTCACCCTCCTAGCCGGGCCAACGTTTCTCAGTGTGAACACTTTGGCTCGCCCAGCCGGATCAACTCAGGGTCAAAACGCGACAATCAGTGTATGCTTTCTTTTTTCTCCTATAAACTGCTTGCTAATTTGAATTAAGTTAGTTCGCCTTGGAGGATGACCCTAATACAAGGGACAAAGTTTTTTTCACCATATAAACTTAGCCTGAATGCTCCGATCTTTAAAAAAAAATACGCCTGTACAGTATTTATTGTAGGCTACCTTGACAGTGTTGGATCATCATCATTATTATCATTATCATCATCATCATCATCATCATCATCATCTTTATTCAAAAACGATCTCAATTCTAAGGCTTGTAGGGTCATGTAATTTTCAGGGTAGAAGGTAAGATTAAATAAGTAATATAACAATGAAATACGAAAACGTTTCTCTTAAAAATAATATTGCAACAAGTATTTCTAACATACCTCTCATGAGCACACATGTGATGCCCAGGGCACTGTTCTTCTGCCTGACAACGTTACATTAGAAATACCTCGTGTTAGCACCAGGTACATTCCAATAAAATTAGTGAAAATGGCTCTTAAAACCTAAGAAGTTTCAGCCCTTTCTATTTTGATTGATGACCCAAGGAAAATACTCTTCCGCCGAAGGTCGCTTGGGTACTACTTTCGGAAGATCGAGTTTCGCTATTTTCTTACACCAGAAAACAATACGTGCTCGATGAACTCGTGTCTTCAGTCCTGCGTGTTCATGAAAATAAGCGTGTTTTAGAGAATCTCAAGCTCCCAAAATGTTACTAATCGTTCTGTTGATGTTCTCTGGAGCAACAGTGGTATCTACAAAACGGTAAGGCTATTTGAAAAAGAAATTAGGTGGTGTATTCGCCCAAAATCAGTGAAATGACATTGTGGGCATGTATGCCTACTAAGATTACGGCAAGGCAAATCGATGGAGACTTACATCCATGTAATCACAGTAATTGTCGTTAATAAGGCGGTTCGCGCCGAAGCTTGGCGATTGCAAGGAATGAGTTACACAAAAGTAAATTTAAAAAAAAAAAAAAATGGGTATAGCATGTCGACGAACTGGACTGAACTTAATCATCAATGGGTCTTCGGTCCGGGGGGTGGGTACTTGATTAATATTTGGCTATTGGTGAGCCGCTGAGGGTTTCAGTCAAATCTGACCCTATTTAGGACAAAAAAAATACTAAAATACATACGCTGTTTACGACAAAGAAGAAAATGCACGCCGTCTTGTTTTGAAGGCATTTATTGACAATTGCAACAGAGCAAATCTACGTTATGGTCATTGCTTTTGTATACAAAATTCATCTAAGAAATCAAATCGATCGTGCAGGAAATACCATTTCAACAGACGCACACGAAATTAAATACTGTTTAGGAATTTAGGACAGACTCACACGAAATGATATACCCTGATTAGGACAGAGAGGTCAAAAACCATACCTTGTCCGGCGGCACATTCCCGTATCAGCCGTATAGGTCGTATAAGTGAAAACCCCCTCCCCCCGGGTCTTCAGCATTTACATCCAATGTTATATTAGTCGCATTGATCTTAGTTATCATGAAGTTTGATTTTGAGGTTACGAATGTTACGATATTGAGGTGCATAAAAGATAATTGTAGCTCCGTCGGACTTAAGAACAATGAGATGTTTTTTTGGTAACTAACTACTTCCCGTTCTGCAAGGAAGCAGACCTTTGCCTGCAATCTTCCTCGTTTCTAAAAATATTCTAAACTGAGAAGCGGAAGTTTTGATTTCATTTTAATAGACGTAAATATTTTTCCTCTTAAAAGTGTCAAGTTAATGAAGGACAAGGAATGATTCCTTGAACGTTATTTGCTTCTTGCTCGAACACGAAGATACTGAGAAGGGGTGTCAAAGGTGATTGATCGCGGAGAAAAACGCAGCGGTGCCAGCCGCTCAGTGGTGTGTGACCACCTTTTCCTCAGAAATGTGGTAACAACTCGTTCCAAACAAACTAAAGTTTGACAGCAAAGTTCCTTAGACCGCCATTTTTGTCATGTGACATACTTTACATGTTAGTTATTACTTGTTCAGTGTATTGTAATAGAGAAGAAACGTGTTTTGTTACCTTCTCTTACAGAAGTGCTCAAATATTCATCACTGCCCCGAACATCTTTCACCTTGGTGTCGAAGAGACCATTTCAGTGATACTCTACAATACAGACAAACCAGTCAATGTGACAGTTATTGCTCAAGATTTTCCTGACAAAAAGAGAAACTTGTCAGCGGCTAATGGAGTTTTCGCAAGGGGTAAACGACTATTCATAGCCAAGTTTACGTTGTTTCTATTTATTCCTAATGTAAAAAAAATAATAGTACAAAATAAACTACTAAATAATAGCGGAGCCCTCTCGCGCGCGAGGCGCGTGCTGGGGAGCACCATGGGTAAGTATGCGTCCGAGAAATTGTGGTAGCCACGTGACCGTACGTCCTCCCGTCCGTCCGCACCACAAGCACACCAATATAAAATAACTCAATCAACAGTTACAGCAACCCAAATGCAACCCAAGGTTTTTGTAAGTATTATTAACCAGAGCTTGGCTTTTAGCCCTGGCTAAATCTACTATTTAAGCAATAGAAAACGTTTTCCGTGTTTGCATAGCCTGATATAAACACGAGAGGGGTTGGGAGAATTCGAGACAGTTATGCAAACCCGAGACGAAGTCCAGGGTTTGCATAACCGTCGTGAATTCTCCCAACGCCTCGAGTGTTTATATCAGGCTATGCAAACACCGGAAAAAAGTTTCCTATTGCTTTTATAAAATAACTTTCCGAGAAAAAACGCAAAACTCTTTGTTGTGGCACTGATTAAAAGAGAAATTCTTACCAATCGCAAAGTCTTGTCGACGAAGTCTTGCACGCGTAATCAGTTCTTGTTTTGCAAAAAGATGCTTTCAGAAATACGGACTTTTCTCGCTTAAAATGTCAGCTTAAGCGAAAAAAAAATTGACACACCTTCTTTGTAACGATTTTCCAAGTTTCAGCCGACGAAGGGATGGGCAAATAAAATAAACTTGTCGAGTGATGAACTCGAAACCTTTTTCAAATTCGTGCTTGCGTGATTAGCGCGCGAAAAGCAAAACATCTTGACGCCACAAAAATGTTTACATACTCTCATGCAAACACTCCTCTCGGCCGATCAGAGCTCGCGTACTATCTTAGTTATTTTATAAATATTAAATGGTAAATAATAATCAGTAAATAATAGTAAATAATAATGGTGATAATAATGACGATAATGGTGATGATGATGAAAATGATGATAATGATGATAATGATTACGATGATGACGATGATGACGACGTGATAATGATGGTGATGATGAAATAATGTTAAAAGTTGTCTTTCTGTTTTGTGTCCTCAATTAGACGTCGCCTGTGGACGGAAAAAGTTTGTTTTGAGTCTCTATTTTAATTTTAATGACTGTTTACTTAATCTGTCATTTTCGGTTACCACGATGAGATATTATCGTCTAACTTCTTTTGAACATTTGGCTTCAACAGAGAAACCAGGCATGCTGAAACTCAAGGTAAGGTGTTTTATTAACTTTAGCCGAGGACCAGGCTCTGCAGTTGGGCAAAAGGCAAAAAAAACAGTGTGAAACAGCAAAAAAGATCGGTGGGCGAATACAGCCAAGCCAAGCGGTGTACTGGGGAGGTTTGCCTCGCTTGCCTTTTTTTTTCCGCCTTTAATTTGTCGATTTTTTTCCCGCCTTTTTCACCCACCGAGGAGCCTGGTCCCAGGCTATATTAACTTCTGTTTAGCAACTGAAATTTTTACAATTAGGCAATATGTCAGAGACCTTTAGATTCATAGATGACGTCGAAGACTACGAGCACGAGATTTGACTTAAAGTTTTTTTCGCATATTGTCAAAAATATGCATCCCGGAAAGCTTCATTGTACTCGTTATCACAAAAGAGTTCGCACGGCTGTTCTTATTGAAGAAGTTTAAAGGGGTTATGTCAAGAGGATAGCGTTAAAATTTTAAAAAGTTGGCCAAACTCTGTTAAGTTCAATCCAAGTCCATCTTTGTCATCCATTGCAACAGGCGACAGGAGACAGTTTCAATGCCTAAATATAGTCTTGAGTAACTAAACTGGAGCATTACTTTTGGAATTCAATTGACGTGAAGATTAGTTTTACATCCCGTGACATATCCCCTTTAAATGCTTCCCCGATTGAAAAATTATAAAACTTCAAACATCTGAAAACTTGTTTCCGTCACTACGACATTTGCTGAAACCCGTGGTAGAATGGCGACGGCTAGCACGTTCTCCCGCCAAAATCACGTTGCGGTTCACGTTCGCGTACTACTTAAGGCTGATTTTCATTAGCGACAGAGTCAATGATTGAGTCGTAATCAGAAGCGTAGTGAAAACAGCGTTCTGATTCCGCTTACGACTCTGTCGTTGACGATAAAGTAAACACTAGATCGTCGGAGTCGCAAGCAGAAGCACGAAAAGTAAACAAATCACAAAGCGACTCCGACTCCGCGACTCCGTCGCGCTTCACGTGCAAGAGAACGCACCTTGCATTAAGGGTCTTTGAGACTCAATTCAAGCAGAAGAGAAGAGGAAATAATTATCCGTGTTAACGTTACAATCCTTGACATTCGCTGGCATAAATTCAATTATTAATTAAAATCCAGCCTGCCAAGGATTAGCACTTTCTTTGAGGTGGATAAAATTAGAAGAACACGTTGCATGGTGTTATCACTGACTTGAGAGGCAAAGGATTGCTGGTCTTCAATGTTTTCTTACCTTTGCATATAATTAAGATTTAAAAACAAACAAATAAGCAAAACAAGAAAAACAAAAGAAAAAAAATATAAAGCGAGACATTTATTAATACTTTATGTTACACAATGAAACTGCCCATAATATTAAAACACTCCCTTGTTTTTGTTTATACAGCTAAATCAACGAGATTTTCCATTGGACACTACCGATGATGATGACATGGCGACCAATCGTTATGCTTACTTGATTGCCAAAACCAACGATAGTGATGTTTTCATTGACAAGGAGGTGAAAGTTCTTGTCAGTTTCCTGGATGGTGTTGTTCTTGTGCAGACGGATAAACCAATTTACACTCCACAGCAGAGTGGAAGTTTGGAGTATACGAAAGGTAGTTGTAAATTGAATATCTAGATCTTAATGTATCTCTTAAATAACATGACGACCATTCAAGAAAAACATTTATGGCAAAAACCCTTTTTACTGGTTTACTTGATTTCTTAAGTGTCGCTGCATTTCAACGGGTTCTTTTACTTCTCACATTGTACAGAAATAGACATAGACATGGTCAAACAGAGTCGATAAAATTCCTTGTTATGTTCTGTTTAAGGAGGCAACCTAAATGTTATTTTCCTTTATTTGGAACTCATTATTATACACCATCCCAAAAACAAACAAAAATAGTTAATCCATGAAAGTCTTTATCTCTTACCTTGTTTTTATTCTTGGTAACTTTTACTTTCAGTCAAAATTAGGATTCTGCCGCTTGGATTTGATCTCAAACCGGCCAAGCAGAAAAAAGTAAGGTTCCCATGGTAATAAATCACGTAGTTGTTAGTATAGTTGTCCAAAACTATTTCTTCTTAAACGCTTATTATTAGTAATCCGTATTAGTGTTGTATTTCGTTTTACAAATCTCTGACCGAGAAGAAAATCATAACCTCTACCACCATGTTAGAGTTAAACCTCTTGGTTTTCTTTTATACCAGTTTTGGCAGAAAAAGGGAAAGGACTTTTTTTCCTGTCACTTGTGACGTTATATCGCGTGACTATAGCAACCGACTGTCATGTAAGTTTGCCAAAATGTACCCGAGGGATAGTGAACAATTACTGAAGGGAAAAGACTCTTAGCTCGGAAGTGATCAGGAAAAATATGGCAAAGAAAAAAACAAAGAAAAAAGCAACAAACAAACAAACAACAACTACAACAACAACAGCAAAAAGAACAAAAACGGGTTTGACTTTCGTCTCTCCTTTTTTTTTTA